GAGGCACGTCCTTTCATAGGGCACTTGTTATCCCACTGCCTCATCAGTAATGGGAACTAATGTGCAACGTGATTGCTGAGTACAAATTCTATTTTTTCCTACCAAGCAGGAAGTTTAAAATCTGCGGGGTTATTTTTAAAGGGGGTGAAAAAATAGGCATCGTACCAGCTTCCCAATGGTCCTGTCCGAAGGCACCTGCTGCTTTATTCAAGGCATTGGCCAGGTTGGGAGGATGAAGTTTCACCAGGGGGATTTCTGGGTGGAAGGGTAGGAGAGGAGTGTCCACACACTCAAGTGGCAGGAAAGGATGTGGGCTGGCTGCTGGTTTGATGAGGACAGTGACCCCAGATTTTTCTGGAGTTGACATTCGGTATTGGTTTCCTTTGGGGATTTGTGGCTACCTACCTTCTCTTCAAAGAGCCAGGGTCCCCAGCCCTGGACTGAGAGTTGGGCCAGTGGGTCTGTCGCTGCTTGGTCATTTGTGGGACAGCCTTGGACTCATGCCATATGAGTCACAGAAATGTGAGTCTCACGTTTCTGAGTAGATGAGGAGTTTGAGGAGAGTGAATCCCCACAACCCTAATATTTAACAAATATAGTAATAACGTGAAAGTATTTTTAGTACTAACATTTAGTGTTTACATGAAAATATTTTGTGTGAAATATTTATAGTACTTATATGAAAGAAATCAAGTTGAACTTGGCTTCCATTGACTTAAACATTTCTTGATCACTCACTTTGTGTGAGGCACCATGCTAGGAAGTAGGATTGCAATCGAGCTGTTTTGGGGGGGGAATTTCTCCATATCCCCTGGAGTAAGTAGCACAACCCTAGAGATCACACACCTCTGTGGGTTGCTGCAGAATGGCTACAGTAGAAAGTTCTAGAAACAAAGGGCAAAATTGTTAACCTTCCCTTCCTTGTGTGAATCATCAGTTTCTCCGTCCCTCTGCTTAGTTTTAGAAGTTTGGGAATTACTTTCTCTGCTACTAACTGTGTAGAACCTGTGCAAACTGTCTCGCTTAATCTTTCCAATGACCCTTTTTAAAATATTTTAGAGAAAGAAATGTGGGTGGAGGGGTAGAGAGAGAAGGAGAGAGAATCCCAAGCAGAATCCATGCTCAGTACTGAGCCCGACATGGGGCTCGAACTCACGAACTGTAAGATCATGACCTGAGCCGAAAGAAATACTTGGATGCTTAACGCTTAACTGACTGAGCCAGCCAGGTGCCCTGAAACCAATTTTTCAAAAGAGAAGAACAAAAACTAGATGGAGTGACTCATCCAATATCTCGGTTCCAGTCAGGGGCTGTACTGGCTTCGTTATGTGCAAGTTTCCAGACTTGCATCGGAGCCTGAAGCCTGGCAGTGGTGAGCATCTCCCTGACTTGAACCCTCACGGCAAGAAGCCCAGGAAACGGTCTTGGAAAGGGTGTCTGGTAGGGCTGGTCGGAAAGGGAGTCAGAAGTGGTGGGAAGCGGATACTTCCGTGCCTGTCTACCTGGGACTCAAGCTAGCGACTGGCAAGGCGAGGGGAGGAGGGAGCGAGCGCTGAATTTGAAGAAGACAGGGAACCCAGGGCCGGTGAAATAAAAGTTTTTCTCAAACTGCTGTCTGGGACGCTGACTCGATTATCCATCCTGCCAGTGCACGCTGCCGGAGGTTAGTGAAACACTGCTCAGCCACAGAGCCTTGGTAACACAACCCTGGATGAGACGACTTCTGGCTGGAGTAACACTTTTTGCCTCGGGCTTCACAGGAACAAACAATGTGAGCAGGAGAAACAGAATCCCAGAACTACAGACTCTCAGGGGCGGAGATCTTAGAAGCCCTTCCTCTAACTGGACCCTGAGGTATGCCTACGCTGTCTTCCAGCTTCTGCCTCCTATGATGGGCGCTCCCACCTTGTTCCCCCATTTTGGGTGCATGGGTGACATTTAAATACAGTACAGAGAAAACGAATTACACGTGTGCGCATTGGGGGCAGAAGCCAAGTCGAGGCCCTTGTGTTTATTCAAGCGGCTGCTTGACCACCCTCCTTCCAGTTCCTCATTGTAATAGAAGCAGAAGGAGCTTTGCGGCTGGCTCCTGTCTCCCACAGGACTCATCCTGCCTCCCCCCAAGATGCTAAGGGCCTCAGATGCGACAGGCTTCACTGAAGACCAAATGACAACGCTGCCCATCGACAAGTAAAAGACAAACGTGGCAGCATACGGTTTATCTTTGCAAAAGGAATAAATCAAATGGTGTACTCACCCTGAGGCTACACAGGATGCACAAAAATAAATCGACCTTCTGTTCTCCCGGCCTCAGAGTTCTGGCCCCTGGCACACGGATGCTTTGGTTGTTTCTTAAAGAAGAAACGGAACTTGGCTGCTAAGCAGGGCTGGGCATTCTGGGGAGGGGCTCGTGAGGTCAGTTGTCTACCGGGCCTCACTGGCCCAGGTCTCCCCACCCCAGCTTCCTGTAGTCCTTGTGGATGATCCAGGGGGATTCATCTCCACCCAGACCTGAGCTGGGCCCAGGCTGGGCGAGGAGCCAGAGTGGATCAGGTGAGGACTTGGTTTGACCTCAGTGATGACAATACCCAAGGGGAGAGCCGCTTGCCCTGCTGTGACCCCCCACCCCAGAATGTCGCCACCATCCACAAGCATCAGGTCATGCTGGCCCTTGATGGGAGCCAAACCATGTGGACAGAACTCGTTTTTCTCCATCTTCCCACCCCCACAAAGCTTCATCGTGGCACACAAATGGCAGCCAGAACTCCACGCTCTGCAGGCAAATTAGCTCTCTGCATTAGGCAAAGTGGTGACACCTGTCAGGTCCTCCAAGGGTGGCACCCGGAGGTATATGCAGACCCAGGGGACTCGAGCCTGCACAGCCAACCCCTGGTTGACAGAGCGGACAGGTGGCGGCCCCTACCTTTTACCCTGTATCTCCATTTTCCTCGACTTTTTCTGCACAGCCACCTTTTCCAATCTTTTAACTGAACGAAGTTCTCAGGCTCCCCCTGTTGGGTAAAGAGCTCACTCGTACCATACACACGATGCACGGCTTGGGAAAATCATTTAATGACAGAGAAAGCACACCAAACTAGAACAGAAGCCTGTCAGGACTGGCCGCTGTACAAATCGAAGCCCAGAGGCCCCAAACTAGCACTAGACATTCACAGGGGGAAGTCAGTCGTGGTGAAGGGAACATCACGCAGCATTTCTGAGGACACAGAGGAGGCAGGAGGCAGCAGAGACTCACGCACGTGCTGTGTGTATCTGTAACTTGGACTCCTTTGCAGGCAGTTTTTTTCCTTTCTTTTTTTCTCCCTTCTTCATTTGATTGTAGGGCTTGCGGTGGTTTGCAAATGACCAAGTTGAAGAGAGGCCTCATGTATCCAAATCACGTGAGAGCCGATGTTGGAGGCAGATGCGGCCCAGGAGCTGCTCCAGGGATCACACCCATGTAACCTGGCCTCGGTCCTGTGAACAGTGGCTCAGGGAGCATGACAGCAGCTCTTTTAGAATCTGGGGTCTGTGCACAACTTCCCAAAGGCATGCTAGGAAATAGGGTTACCAAAGAAACTTTGCCAACCCCAAAGGGCAAAAGTCATTCTCGTTTCTATCTAGGTTTCCAAGGAAAGGACAAGAGAAAAAGGCAGCAACTGAAAAACTATTTGGAATATTGTGGCACTTCACCAATCTCTTTTGCTTATAATATATGGCAGAGAAAACGGAACCCTGTCGATAGGAACTTTCATCAGAGATAACCCTATACTGTACATTCTCAGAATACAGAAAGAATCCTTCCTATCATACATATTTCATCTTTAAAAATAATCTAACATAGTCATATTCTCTGGCTAGTAGCAAACTATTAACATCTTTTGAGAGTACAGAGAAAACTTTGGGATTCATAGTAAATTCTTGGACGTGCGCGCCCCTCCCGCCCCTGATCAGCATCATCTATGAACACATTTCTGCTAAAGCATCCCAGAATCATTGTTAAAGGAAAGGAATATGTTACAGTTTCACCGAATGGATTTTTAGCAAGAAGTGATGGAACATTTTTACCTTGGCAAAAATGAAGCACAAACATAATGTTTCACTGGCTCGGGCCCATGCAGATGCATGTTTGTTACGTGGGGCTGTTTTACTGTCACCCCGAAATCACAATTAGCATGCAAGTTGTTTTCAGCTATTGAGTTAGAGATAATTATTGGCAGTGCACCTCTTTTGTGTAACCATGATCACTAAGGCAAGATTATTATTTCACTTTGTATAGAATATCAGCAGTATCTTGTCAGATGCATGTTTATACGGTATAGACCTGCGACTTACTGTTTTTTTTTTTTAAAAACCAAAACTCAAAACACAGATCCCTAAACACGATTCAATTGAAAATGAACTGTTGCGCTTTTAGAAATAGATTTTTAAACTACAAGGCTGCCCTGTTTTTGTTTTGTTTTTTTTTTATGAACATTTTAAAAAGTTCCCACCCCTAAAAATTTGCCAAATTATTTCTTCATTATTGGTAACAGTCTCACCAATTTGCTACCACGGTTGACTCTCGCTGAGCTGTAGCTACTAAGGTCCTTGATGTGAGCACAACACTCTCTGGGGTCAGAACAGTTCAGTTCTCCAACTGTCCACCTGCAACCCGAATGACCTTTACTCCTCAATTCATCCATTTAACAGTGGTCCCGGCAACGGGCGTTCAAGTGCCCCAGGGGTGCTTTCGGATGGGGTTGGCTTGGCTGTCCCATGTTGACCTTCAAGCCCTGGACCCCACTGCAGATCTGATCTGCAGACCAGTGGAATGTCCTTTGTTTCTCAATAGGAACACACAGGAGCTGGAATTGCTTATTCAAGAAAAGCTCGGGCAGGAGAGGCAGCTCCTTGGCCTAGCCAAAAACAGATGCCAGGTGAACTTTGTATGTGTTTGTGTGAAGCCAGTGCAGCAGCAGAACTGGAAAGTCCCCAGGGGACTGTTCCCTGCGCTGGACGTTTCATACAACAGAACCTTTGGAGGATGACAAGTGGATTGACTGAATCCTGATGGCCAACGTCCTCTGTAAGTCCTGGAGCACATCCTGGCCCGTCCCTTCACCATTTTTGTCATAGAGGAGCTGCTTGAACGCTTCGTTTTCGATGAGGACCATCATGTTTTTGAGAAAGTAGCCTTCGCAATACGCGGAAAGCTCTGTGACTCCAAGAAACTGTGGAGGGCAAGAGGAAGCAGGAGACGGTTATGTTTCTGAAATGCACCTGGCTGCCTGCACAGCTAATAATGGTGAACACCTATTAAGGCAGATTGACTATAAAAATGGCCCCGATTCTCTACCTTTGATATATTCACCCTCATGGGACAAGACTTGGCAACTTCTCTCATGAGAGGGCTGGAGTCCATTTCTTCACTGCTTGGCCTTGTGACTTGCTCAGGCCAACAGAACACGGCAGAAGCCACAGTTGCTGATTCTGAGCTACCTTCAAGTGGCCATGTCTGTGCTTCTGCACTCTTGCTCAGAAATCTGCCTCTGTCACGGGAGCAAAAGCCCTGGTGAGCCTGCATGGAGGGTTAGCGGCTCCATGAAACTGAGAAGAGAGAGTGACAGGGCCCAGCCACGGTCAACAAAGCCAAGCACAGCTGACCAGACAGCTGACGTCAGAAGCAAGGCCCATGGAGACCAGAAGAAACTTCCAGCTGTCCCGTCGACTCATGTGCCGAAGAAGGGTTTACTGTTTTATCCCCTGGGTTCTACAGTTCTTTGTTGTGGCTGTAGACAACTGGGACATGAATGGAGTTGCAGACACAGCTCTGTGCTCTTGGGAGTATTATTAACCTGTTTGACTGTCACAGCAACCCCGAGTGGGCACTGACTACCAATTCTCTGTATTTAGAGCAGTGGTTCTCAACCAGGGGTGATTTTTGCCCAGGGGACGTTTGGAAAAGTGTGGAGAGGATCTGATTGTCACGACTGGGTGGTGGCGGTGATGTGTGTACTATTGGCATCTAATGGGTGGAAGCCAGGGATGCTAACATGCCACGATGCACAGGACAGACCCTGCAGCAGAGAATCCTGTGGCTCAAGCTGGCAGTGCTGAGGCTGAGACACTCATCTAGAGATGGGGTTCCTCACAGGCTGAGCCGATAAGGAAGGGATTACGTTGACCTAGCTCACCTTTATAAGCCCAAGCAGAGGGCTTGACAGATGGTAGACACTTGGTAAGTTGTTTGTTGAATGTATGAGTGAGCAGTTAACTCTCGGAGTAATGAACTAACAGTGAACATTTACTGGGGGCTTACAATGTGCCAGGCACCTTGGTAGGCACTTCAAGTACATCATCTCCTTTAATCTTCAACTTCCCTGAAGGAAGGCAGATTACCACCTCCAATTTACAGATGAGGGAACAGACAAGAGTGTAGGTTACAAAAAGTCACACAGCGTGTCAAGGGCAGAACGAGGAACTGAATCCTTAAGGCTGTGTGCTTAACCATTAAGACACTGCCCCCATTCTGACATCATTAATCAGAGGCCAGGTATTCAGCCTCATGTGTGCGTGGTGGAGGAACTCACGTTCGAAGCACAGAAGTAAATGCGGATATGTGGGCTGGCTGTCTTCAGATCTTTTCTACAGTTTCCAAAGTCCCTCTATGGCAATGAACTGGAAGCTCAGAAGTTCTGAAGTGCTCCTTGAGATAACATCCCACTGCTTTCTTTAAATGTTGATTTATTTAAATTATCCAAATGCTGAATCATCCTTCTGAACTATCCTGTCCTTTAAACAAGAGATGTGGAACACCTGGGTGGCTCTGTCGGTTAAGCTCTTGACTTCAGCTGAAGCTGAAGACACTTTTCTGTGCTTCAGTCACAGACTGAAGTGACTTCAGGTCATGATCTCATGGTTTGTAAGTTTGAGCCCCGCTGAAAGTGCAGAGCCAGGCTGCTTGAGATTCTTTTTCCCTCTCTCTCTTCCCCTTCCATGCGCTCTCTCAAAATAAATAAACATTAAAAGAATAAACCAGAGGGGCGCCTGGGTGGCTCAGTCGGTTAAGCGTCCGACTTCAGCTCAGGTCATGATCTCGTAGTCCGTGAGTTCGAGCCCCGCATCGGGCTCTGTGCTGACCGCTCAGAGCCTGGAGCCTGTTTCAGATTCTGTGTCTCCCTCTCTCTCTGACCCTCCCCCGTTCATGGTCTGTCTCAAAAATAAATAAACGTTAAAAAAAATTAAAAAAAAACCCCCAGAGATGCACTTAATTGTTAGATGGGAAATGATAATGAGGCAGTGCTAACAGGGCTATCTATGGTGGAACGAGCTGGAACACCTGGATTTGAGTTGGGGCTCACCCACCTCCCTCAATATGTGACCAGGGCTGGGCCACTTGGCCTCCAGCTTTAGGTGCATCATTTTCAAAATAAGAATTATGACACCTGCATCCCAGACCAAGATTCTGCCGTTTGTCACAATTAGGAGAGGTAGGTTAGGAATGTAGTTAAGGGAGGGGCTTCTGGCTTCTGGGATCCTGCCCTGCCCCCCTCCCCGCCCCAGATTTACCACTAAGCTATTGGCTGTTGGGCAATTTATACAATCTCTCTTTGCCTCCAAACTCCTATCCATAAAATGGGGTTGATGATAATACCTACTCAACAGTCTGTTGTTGCGATTAAAATGAGATAATGCATGGAGTGACAGAACAATGGTCAATTGGAGTCAGCACTCACTCAATATTAGTTGTCATTATAAATGTAAACTATTTATCGCTCTCCTTCTCACCAACTGGTATCCAGTGACCCTCATGCACAAAGTAGGTGGCCAGGCTGGGAAAAAGGGAACTGACTGTGTCTATGGAACCTAGCCCAGCTAACGGACCAAGGTTGTGGCCATGAACTCACTGACACCATTCATTGAGCCAATGGCAACTGTATGTATAAAAACCACATGCAACCTTGGGTATGTCAAATCACTTTTCTGTGCTTCAGTTTCCCCAGCCACAGAATGAATGGCGTGACTCAGAGGGTACGATGCTCTTCAGTGCATTTAGGAAGCAGGTAATTGTGCAGTCTCTGAGAAACTTAGAAGACGTGGTGAGGTTTATCAGGCAAGAGGGCTTGTTACCACCCAGGGTTCCCATAGCTGCACAGTACCCTGGAGTTGGGAGAGATCTTAGGATTGCTTTCATTCTTTCAACATGAACCCTGACATTAGAATCACAGAGTACAAGCCCTCATTGTACAGGTGGGGAAACTGAGGCTCAGAATCGCCTATCTTTGATTCTGTGGACACAGAGAGCACCCCCCTTGACCACACCTGGCCACTTGCTTTGTATATAAATGTCACTCATCACAAGTTAGTGTAAGTGGAGAACAACAAGTACAATAAATACTTACATTTATATTTGGTGATATTTATTCAGTGGTGACTATACATCAGACCCTTGCCTACCTCCACACAAATAATGACTGACAGAACTGGGGTGGGAACTCTCATCTCCTACGCCAACGATTGACAAACTACAGGCCTGTGGGCAAAATCTGGCCCACTACCTGTTTTTGTGAAAAAAGTTTTATTAGAACAAAACCACACCCATCATTTATGCATCATGTATGGCTGCTTTTGCATTACTATGGCAACCATATGGCCTGTGTGAAAATATTACCTGGCCCTCCACAGAAAACGTTTGCTGGCCCCTGTCCTAGACTGTAATTTTTGCAAGAGCAGAGCTCATGTCTTACTAATTTTTTTATTATATTCTGATGAATACAGTTCCTGGTAAATAGTGGGTGCTCAATAAACACTAATGAATGAATCCCTAGTTTTGCAAACCTGTGTTCTTTCTAGCACAGTGCATGGTTGGGCTTACTGAATTAGCTTAGATTCAATTTGATGAACCAGCCTTTTCGTTTTCTCAGGTTGAAAGGGCCATCAGAAGCTTCAAGGCCCCCTTTTTACGACTGAATAATTTGGGACAGATTTACCAGGAAAAAAAAAAAAAAGATGGTTAAGCCATGCATTTATGGGATGGACTTCTCATCTGTATAAAATTCCACAGCTGTCTCAAACAGTTAGATGTAGTATAGAGGTAATGTTGCCAAGGTCTTGTTGACATTTGGGACATTGTTATTAGCATGTAAACTCCTGTGTTTCCTGGGGTTCTGAACCAAGAGTTGGTTTTTCTTTTCCGTTTTTACTAAACTCGCCTCAATGTGCAGTAGAATCTGCCAGAAATAGAATCCACATGCATGTGCTCGTTCGCAGTGTTGCAGTATCTGTAGCACAGGGGCAACAGCATACAGAACGGGGAAAGGGCAGAGGCTGGCTGGCTTTGCCTTGTCTTCTATGCAAATGTCACGAAAGGCAGACTTTTGCATTGGAAACACACCAGGATGTGGCCTGGGAGACCGAGGCAGAGTCTCGTGTCTGTAAAAGGCAGAGCTCTGGCTGCAAAGGTACATAAACAGAAGGGGCAGTTCCCTGCCATAGGTATTCAAAGCCCATAGCACTAATGTATTCCCAACCTGGGCTCCTCTTGTATCAGGCTGCATTATTAAATACAATAGCTACGGAAGCTGCCTGCCAAGGAGCCTGAAGTGGTTAAAATGGATTGCTGACAACATGACAGGCCATGGCAAAGCCACTTGTGGATGCTGGGTTCACAGGACAATTGGAGTGTCTGTGGCCAGGAGAGGGGGAAGGACCACAAGATTCATAATCAGGCTCTCTTCTTGGGTAGAGAGCAGTCTCTGGATGCTTTTCTGCAGAGTACTCAGTTTAAAGATTAAAAAAAAAAAATGTGCTGTGTCCTGAGAGACCAGATTTTGGTAAAACCCTCATTTAACCAAAGCACCTAGTGTGTGTGTGTGTGTGTGTGTGTGTGTGTGTGTGTGTGTGTGTAGTAAGTAGTGTGTAGATTTTGATTTACTGATGACCAATGAGAAGATCTCTTCTATCAATGATTATTGCAAATATTTCAACCATTTATTAGGCCAGAGAGCAAGGTTAAGAGCCTGTGCTTTGGAGTAAGATAAATCTAGGTTTTCCCATCTGGGTATATACCCCAAACCCCAAAGAACTAAAAGCAGAGACTTGAACAGATATTTGTCCTGTGTTCACAGCAACATTATTCACAGTAGCCAAAGGGTGGAAACCACCCTAAGTGTCCACTGATGGATGACTGGATAGACACGATGTGGTCTCTCCAGACAATGAGATATCATTCAGTCTTAAAAAGAAATGAAATTCCAACACATGCTACAGCATGGATGAACCCTGAGGGCACTGTGCTACCTGAAATAAGCCAGTCACAAAGGGCAAATACTGTACGATTCCATTTATATAAGGTTCCTAGAGTAGTCAAGTTCATAGAGACAGAAAGTTAGGTGGTGGTTCCCAGGGCCTGAGGGGAAGGGAAATGGTTCCCAAAGTTTCAGTTTGGGAAGATAGAAAGTTCTGGAGATAGATGGTGATGATGATTTTACAACAATGTGAATGGGCTTATGCTGCTGAATGGTGCGCTTAGAAATGGTTAAAATGGTAAATTTCATGTTATGTGCATTTTACCACACACACATACATAAATCTCCATAGTAGCTGTGTGACCTTAAGCAAGTTCCTTCCCCTGTCTGTGCCTCAGTTTTCTTATTATGATATAAGACTAATGATAGCATTTACTTAAAAAGGTTGTAGTGAGCATTAAAAAAGAAGGTGTAATACACAAAAATAAATTCAAAATGGATGAAAGACCTAAATGTGAGGCAGGAAACCATCAAAATCCTAGAGGAGAAAACAGGCAACAACCTCTTTAACCTCGGCCGCAGCAACTTCTTACTCAACACATCTCTGGAGGCAAGGGAAATAAAACCAAAAATGAACTACTGGGACCTCATCAAAATAAAACGCTTCTTCACAGCAAGGGAAACAATCAACAAAACTAAAAGGCAACCGACAGAATGGGAGAAGATGTTTGCAAACAACATATCAGATAAAGGGTTAGTATCCAAAATCTATAAAGAACTTACCAAACTCAACACCCAAAAAACAAATAATCCAGTGAAGAAATGGGCAGAAGATATGAATAGACACTTTTCCAAAGAAGACATCCAGATGGCCAACAGACATGAAAAGATGCTCAACACTACTCATCATCAGGAAGATACAAATCAAAACCACACCGGTCAGAGTTGTTAAAATTAACAACTCAGGAAAGATGTTGCCAAGGATGTGGAGAAAGGGGAACCCTCTTGCACTGTTGATGGGAATGTAAACTGGTGCAACCACTCTGGAAAACAGTGTGGAGTTTCCTCAAAAAATTAAAAATAGATCTACCCTATGACCTAGCAATAGCACTACTAGGAATTTATCCAAAGGACACAGGAGTGCTGATTTGTAGTGGCACATGTACCCCAATGTTTATAGCAGCGCTATCAACAATAGCCAAATTATGGAAGGAGCTCAAATGTCCATCAACTGATGAATGGATAAAGAAGATGTGGTATATATATAAAATGAAATATTACTCAGTGATGAAAAAGAATGAAATCTTGCCATTTTCAACAAGGTGGATGGAACTGGAAGTTGTTATGCTAAGTGAAATAATTCAGTCAGAAAAAGACAGATGTCATAGGTTTTCACTCATATGTAGAATTTGAGAAACTTAACAGAAGACCATAGGGGAAGGGAAGGAGGCAAACCATAAAAGGTTCTTAAATACAGAGAACAACACACTGAGGGTTGATGGGGGTGGGGGATTGGGAGGGGCAGGGAAAATGGGTGAGGGGCATTGAGGAGGGTACTTGTTGGGATGTACACTGGGTGTTGTATGTAAGTGATGAATGACAGGAATCTACTCCTGAGGTCAAGACTACACTGTATTTTAGGTAACTTGACAATAAATTATTTTTTAAAAAAGTAGGTGTAATATGGCTCTTAGCACAGGCGCCTGCACACTAAAAGGGCTCGTTGGATGTTGGCATAAGACAGAAAACAACATCTCAAATGCAACCTGAGTTTTCAGGATGGGCGATGAGAGTGTAATGCACGTCAGCTGTCACTCTACAAAGCAGCAGGTGTGGGAGATGTCTCTTGAGCTCCACTTAAAAGAAGACTTTTTTGTTTTAAATTCCTGATCTCAACTCATTTCACTGTTTCTTCCTAGCAAATGCTAATCTGCCCATCCTGAGCACATGAAACAAAAATAAAATGGCACCTGGACAAATTATTTGACTTCTCTCAGTCCCAGTATCCCTACATGCGAAATGGATTGGATGAGATGAGGTCAGTGGTTCCCAAAAATTGGAGTCATGACTGGCCTTAGGACTGAAGTCACAACAGTAGCCTAGGGAGCTTATTAAAAGTACAGATTCCTGGGTTCCACTGCAGAGACCATTGTGGGTGGGGGGCTAAACACATTCAGGACTCTCCCCAGGTGATTCTGATTAGTCCACCTGACCAGGAGAACTCCTTGGGGGTCTCCAGGGCTGGTAACCTGTTCTCAACCTTGGTCACACTGGAAATCACTTGGGAAGCTCTGGAAAACACCTTTCCCCGGGCTCTACCACCAGAGGTGAGTTTAATTGGTCTGTGATAGGTCCCAAGCATAGGGATTTTAAGTGAGTGCCCAGATGATTCTACTGCGCAGCCAGCACCAGGAACAGAGTTCTAGAACAGTGATTCTTGCCCTTGAGCATGCATCAGAATCACCTGGACGGCTTGCGAAGCCATAGGCGGTGGGTCTCTCCCCCAGAGTTTTTGATTCAGAGTAGGTCTGGAAAGGGGCCCTGGAATATACATTTCTAACACGTTCCCTAAAGATGCTGATGCTTCTGGACTGGAGAACACTCTTCGACAACCACTTGCTACTCAAGGTGTGGCTTAGACTAGCAGCAGAGGCTTCACCTGGGGGCTTGTTAGAAATGCAGAATGCAGGGCCCACCCTGGACCTGCTGAGTCGGGGTCTGCAATATGATTCGTGTTCACGTTAACATTTGAGAAGCACTGTCTCAGAACAACTTTGCTTTGGGAACTTCTGAGTTCCTGCTCTCGTTGTATTTGGGAGGGGTGACATAAAAGGAAAGGCATCTTTTCTAGAGCAGGAGGCTGATGGTGGGAGGAATGCAGGGGTGGCTCAGCCTGGAGCAAGCGGGCCAGCACCAGCTCTCTGCCTTGACTCCGTGTCTGTGAAGGAAAAGCCTGACCCATTTCAGTACACGGCGCATGCTCAGGGCAGCCAGAGTGGGACTGATTACCTTGGCGTGGTTGTAAATATCCACACAGTTGTCGGTATTGATGCTCTTTGCGCAGATAATCTCACAGTGTCGCTGCAAAGCCTCCAGCTGGAAAAATTTAGCAGCAGACAGAAGCTAAAAACCATAAAAAGAGCCCGTTAGTGGCTGGGAGGTGGAAATAAAGGGATGACAATCATGGGGAAAAATCCTTATCTTCCACAGAAGTGTCCCAAGGTGAAGGGCTGGGAATATAGGGATTGGTAACGTCACTTTAAAGCCCAAAGGAAACACTAGCCACTAAGATAGAGTGATCGAACTCTGTTGCGGGGGAAGATGGCAGAGGAGAGGGGTTTGAAGTGAACCAGATTCACATCTATTCTAGCAGGGGGTCAAGCAAAAATGCCTGAGGTTGTTACGTCCAGAAATATGGGTGAACACCATTAGTCAGCAAGATGGATTTCGGTGTGGCTCACTCCCTCTGTTCATCCAGGTGTCCACACAAATGTCCCCTCAGAGAAGCCTCCCAGACCACCCCGCCTCAGGTCATCTCCCTTCATCACTGTCTGCCTTCCTTACCCTGTCTTAGTTTTCCTTAGAGCCCTTCTCTCCCCAGACATGATGTCATGCCTGTCGCCCTCAGTCCATGAGGGCAGAGATCTCTGTCCCTTTGCATTACTGCTGTAGCTTGGCCCTAAGTGTTCAGAGGGATTGCCTTTGGGGAATGGATGGGGGCACGGGGGATGAAGGAGCCTGGGTGAGCTGCTTTTTGTGACCAGCTCTTCTGTATTATTTACGTGATTTACATGTACGTTCGTTATTTTGATTTTAAAATAAAAATAAATGTTACAGAAGAGCCTGCGTTCTCAGATGGTAGCTTGGTCCTGAGGTAGAGAAGTGTCAAAGGAGTGGTCCAGAGAGGCAAGAGAGTAACTGTGGGTGGGTGGGTGGGGATGACCATGGAAGGGTTCTCAGAGTATGATGGGAAGGATAAGCACCTTATTGAACATAAGAACTCTTACAATCTTAAAAATCCAATGAGATAGATAATTATTCCCATTTCCAGGGAAGGAAACTGAGGCTAAGAGAGGTTAACTAACATGTCCAAGATCACACAGCTCAGAAGGGACAGAGCCTGGATTTAAACCAAGTTTGGTTCTGACTCCATGTTTTAACCCCTGTGTGGGGTCACCTTTTGAATGACTGATAGTGCTCTGACATCTCTAATCAGCCAGGCACCCTGGACTCCACAGACACCTGAATGGATCCTGGCTCCTTTGCTCAGGATTATCGGAGTAATCTTGGCTTCCTGTTCAAAGCTTCCAGTTTTGAATAGGAAAACCAACAAAGGGTCCAGGTTTAGGAAAGAGCAGGGACTCATGGCTTTGGGCAGAAGGGAGCAGAAACAAGGCCCCTGGATTAGGGAGGGGAGACAGGCTTAACGGTGAGGTAGACAGCAGATGGGGGAGAGCCAAGGAGACTCAGGAAGGGGGGATGGTCATCCTCAACTGGCTGGAATGCTCCTGGCTTCTGTATCAACAGATGCACTGTGATTTGGGGAATGTTTTCCAATGACAGAAGTCACAAGGGTAGCTCCTGATGACGGTATCTGAGCCCTAGTTGTGCCTAGACTTAGTCTCCGCCTCCATAGGCAACTTCCTTTACCTGCCCCCTCCCCCACCCCCCACCCCAAAGCCAATTAAAAGTGGCTTTCACGGAGCTGCTATTGCAAGTGCACTGAGCACCCTGGCCTTCTGGAAGGGGCTCTGATGCAAAACCCTTGGGAGGCAGGACCCCAAACCCTGCACCCAAGTGAAAACTCAACACAGGTCCCCCCAGCCACCGCCAACACCTGCCAGTGACCTGAGTTTACAGAGGAGCCACTGACCCGATGACACAACAGTTTCCTTACCTCCATTATCTCGTTGTTTTTAATGAGAAGTGACTCTGGGCCACCGTAGTAGAGATACTGCATAACCAGCTGGAAGAAAGGACACAGCGAGCAAAGCATCAGTCAGTGTCAGCACACAGACACCGTCAGCTTACAGCTGGGCAGTCTATCGGTCCCTCTAGGACACCTGTCCCCAGCGTGGCCATTCCCGCTTGATCCCTGCCTTGTAGGAGGAGTTCCACTTAGGATGCTTCTCTCGGCTGGATGTTTTTCCTTATGGCATGCTGAAATTTGTCTCCTTGTGATTCTGCTAGGTTCCAAGTGCATGCCCGGTATCACATTAAACAATTCTGAACAATTCTCTGTTCTCCATCTACAGATGGCAGTCGCTGCTTGTCTTTCCACCTCCATGCCATCAGGCTGCCCCCAAACAGGCAGTTTAAGGAACCTACGCTAGGGGTCGTTCCCCTGGAAGCATGGCCCAGTTTGACAGGATTCTTACTTAAGTCCCAGGGGATGACTCTGGGCTCCCATGGGACCACCTGACTCCTCATTACAGCTTGACAAGACCCAGGATGAAGCCATTAGGGGTCCACAGTTTCAATGTTTCACTGATGATGGGAACAGTCTGAGTGAGGCTGTTCTTTGTTCAGGTATTAAGGAGGCCTGAATGGTGTGCAAAGTCCCAGAGCTTTGCAAATTGGTGTCCCTTTAGAATGAGGCCCCCAGATGTGTAGAACTGGCTGTCACTACCTCCCATGAAGCCATTAATTTTTTCTTTTAATATTTAAAAAAAATTTTTTTAAATGTTTATTTTAGAGAGAAACAGAGCGCGAGCGGGGGAGGAACAGAGAGAGAGAGAGAGAGAGAGAGAGAGAGGGAGGGAGGGAGACACAGAATCGGAAACAGGCTCCAGGTTGAGCTGTCAGCACAGAGCCTGATGTGGGGCTTGAACCCACGAACCATGAGATCATGACCTGAGCTGATGTCGGATGCTTAACCGACTGAGCCACCCAGGGCTGAGCCAGCCAGCCCCAAAGTTTTAATTTTAGGTGGTGGGCATGCTCTTCTCCACCACTGTCTTCTGCCTTATGACACATGGACTATACCTGCCTCACCCCATGGCAGTTGTGCCGGAAACATCTGTAGACTGGTTACGTCCCATCTTTGGACACTTGTAAAATGCGGCGCTGGGGCTGGGCTGTCCTCCACAGTCCCTTCAGGCTCCAGTGGTCTGTGACCAACATACGGCAGTGATTAAGAGCAAGGACCCTGCACGTGGGCTCCCTCAGCTTCTGAGCAGCCCTGCCGCTTAAGATCTGAGGGACCTGAATTGAATTAGGTTCTCTGTGCCTCAGTTGCATCATCTGCAAAGTGGGTATAACATTACCTACCTCATGGGGTTCTGAAGAGGGTTAAATTATATGCAACAGGCCTAGCAGGGGCCTGGCACATGGCAAGAACTGAATAAATCTTAGTTCTTCAGTGTTCTCTGAGGTGGAAAAATCTTTCTCCAGTAGTGCTCTGCTGTGCACTGCCACGTTTTTATTCAGGCCATTCGAGGCCCTTTGTGACTGATCTCAATCTACCTTTTGCACGAATGTTTAAAAGTCATCATTTAAAAAATATGTATGTTTACAGCTTTACTGAGGTCTATTTTACATAATGCAAACGCATCAACTTAAAGCATACAGTTCAGTGGTTTTTAGTATATTCACAATGGCGTGCAACCATCACCACTATCTAATTTTAGAACATTTCTAACACGCCCAGGAGAAACCCCGTACGCATTACCAACCAGTCTCATTTCCTCCTGGGCCTGTCCTGACAACCACGATGGATTCGCTCATTCCGGACATTTCCTATCAGTGGAATCACACAACACATGCTCTTTTGTGTCTGGCTGATGACACTTAGCGTAATATTTTCAAGGTTCATTCTTGCTGTCACTTCTCTCTCCTACGTTCTTTATTGCTGAACAATGTATCACGTTTTGTGTATCCGTTCATCAGCTGAGGGACATTGGATGGGTTCCACTGCTTGGCTGTTATGAATACTGCTGCTATGAATCAATTTACTTTTTCAGATCTCCTCTGTCACTCAAGCCTTCTCTCATCCTAATCTGGACAACATCTGCCTTTTATACTCTGATCACTCCCACCCACTTGCCTCTAACAGAACCTACCACTTCTCTTTCAGTCCCGCACTTTTGCCCATGCTGTTCCCTCTGCTTGGATGCCCCTCCCTTCTTCTCCACCTGTTGAACTGGGCCCCCTCTTTTGGGATCTCAGTGGTCACATGTGTGGAGCCTTCTCAGATGTCCTAGCTGTAACCCCTGGCTGGGCACACATCATCCACAACTGCAGTGTTACTTCCCACGAGAGCTTGATGGGACCGTCTATGTCTTGTCCTTCTCTGCATTCTCGTGCCTGCACTCAGCAAGCGCACTTTAAATAGGAACACGAGGGGCGCCTGGGTGGCTCGGTCGGTTGGGCATCCGACTTCGGCTCAGGTCATGATCTCGCGGTCCGTGAGTTCGAGCGCCGCGTCGGGCTCTGTGCTGACAGCTCAGAGCCTGGAGCCTGTTTCAGATTCTGTGTCTCCCTCTCTCTCTGACCCTCCCCTGTTCATGCTCTGTCTCTCTCTGTCTCAAAAATAAATAAACGTTAAAAAAAAAAAAAATTAAATAGGAACACGAGCCCTCGCCTCACCTCCTCTTTCGTGTTTGAGTCTCCCACGGACTGACTTTGGGCTTCTGTGCCCACCTGCCTCGTCACAGGGATGGTGGTGCATTGATGGTGGTGGCTGAGGCTTTGGGAAATGATAACACAGAATCGTTTACCCTCCCCTCCCTCATCCTGATGGGCCACAGGCATCTAACGTATCATGTCAGCAAATGGGGGGATCCTGGCCTTATGTAAATCAACGGGTCCCCCCAACACCTCTCTTTTACAATGGCCAAACCGATAATGACAACAATACGAGCCATGACAATAACTACCCCGAATATGGGGCCTCTCCATTTACAAAGTGTGCCTCCATCATATTAGGTCATTCATTTGAGGTTGGGCTGTTGACTTAAAATGCTGCTCCTTAGCAGATGCAGATCCTGGGGCTAATGGGATTTAAATTGGGCTGTCCCTTGCCATCAGACTCTGCCAACACAAGCCTTTTCTGCAAAGGGGGCAAAACGAACCCTTATTAGGCCAAAGGGCCTGTTTATGGAGTTGTTTTCCTTGGCAGCTGTCAACCTGCATGGAGCCGGGATTTAAATGGCATTCACGGCCTCACGGAGGCCCCCACTTCCACGTGTAGCCTCAGCTGCGTCCTGCTCTTGCCCGTGTGTGATGTTAAACAGTCTTGTGGGGAGGAAACTCAAAGCAGTCTCATTTAACTAAAATTCTTCTGTCAGCATGGAAGTGGAGTGAACAGGCCCCTGGGAGCCTCCTTCTGGGTCGGATTCAGCCCTCCTTGGCCTATTTCAAGCCACAAATGAGGCTTTTCTTCTTTTATGGGGAAGGGACAGGCACACAGAGAAGTCCCCAGGGCCTGCTAAATCTTCCTAACTCATTACAGTAACTCCAGGCTAATGTGGCCAGGAAACCTTCCCCAGGCAAAAGCAATTACAGGCCTTGGATTCCTCTGGGGCCACGCTTTCCCACGTAGGTCTCTCGTTCAATGAATCCGCACAGCAAACATTTATTGAATGCCTACTACAAGGTTATTACAGGAACCTCCCCAATTAGTTCCAGGCTTTATGGCAAAAGTGCCCCTTCACGAGCACTCAGGAGCTGGGAGGCATGCATTTTCCAGCACTTAGTTCATACTCAAACTCGAATGGGCCTACGATTCTTTCTTCAGGGCCGGGTGATTTTTTTTTTTTTTT